CGGCGCGGCTTGTCGTCGTGGCAGCCGTCGTCGTTTCGGTGGTGGCTGGTTCCGTTGCGGCCGCGTTTGAGTCGGTCGCGCTCGTAGCCACGTCGTTCGTCGTTCCACGCTCATCTGCGTGCAACAGTCGGTGATGCGGTCGCTTGCATCCGTTGATTCCGCAGAGCTTCTGTCGGCAGTTCAATCGACGGTGTCGGCCCACGATGCATTTGAAGCAAAGGCCCTCCTTCTTCACCAGCTCCCATCGGTCATCATACGTTAGCTGCTTGAACTTTGGGCAGCTAGGTAGTGTGTGGGCTTCCTGGCATGAAAGGCATCTGCGCTGCGGTGCTTCTTCGGTGGCGACGTACACCGTCTTCTTCTTAGCCTCCGGTCTGGGGGCGGGGCGAGGCGTTTCTCGTGTTCGTTGCGATGTGGAGGGTGCGGTGAGGTTCGATACATAGTTGTATCGCATGCAGCGGTCAGCTTCCTTCATCAGGAACGATGAAAGTTTGAGTAGATCGGCGTTCGGGCCCGGCTGTGACTCGGCGAAGTTGCACCAACTCGATACAAGGTAACTTGGCATCTTGTCTAAGACTTCCCGGGTCAGCAGTGGGTTAAGCAGGTACTCTGGCTGCACGTTCCTCAGGACGGCCACGACGTTCTGTAGCTTCACCGCAAACATGTTAAGATCGTTCGCGGTAGGTCCAATCTTCGGCAGCTTCCGTAGATCGGCGAAAGCCATGTCCACTAGTCTTTCTGGCCTTCCGTAGCATTGCTCCAGTGTTCGCATGATCTCGTCGGGGTGCGTCGCGGTGCTCAACAATGATGCGACGTTTTCCCGAGCTTCTCCACGTAGGCAGTTTCTTAGTCTTGCCATATTCTCTGTAGGTGTGAACTCGTACAGCCGCGTTGTTTCTCGCATCGCAGTCGCGAACTGTAGCCATTCCAGCGGTGAACCAGAGAATATCGGTAGATCCGATGCTTGACGCGGCGGCGGTCGTGACTTCACGAGGGTTTCGAGGACAGAGGCGAGTTGATCGATGCCTCTGCCTCGCGATGACGACCGTCTTCGTTCTTCCCTATCTGGGCGTCGCGTGTCGCGTTCAGGTGGCGGTTCAGCCACGGCGGTCCTTGAGAGCTCCCCCCGTTGTTGGTCGACGTTCGCGTCGTCGAGCCACTCGAACACTCGATCTTGCAATTTATTTGCCGGTTCTTCAGCTTCGGGTTCGCTCTCTGCTCCGTCTAGCGTTTCTAACTCGATATTGAGCGTCTTTTTTATGAGGTCCGCTTCAATTTCGAGTTCTCGGCGTCTTATGGCAGCCAGTCGTTCTTCTGCTTCGATGCGTAGCTTCCGGCGTGCCGCGTTGCTCGCTGCCGAGCGGGTCGAACGCGCGACGTGCACTCTCCTCGCCGGTTGCACCGATGACGTCATCGCAGATGTCGTTATTCCAGTAGTCGCCGCTGTGTCCGTTGGGTGTGCTGCGCGTTCGTCCGCTCCGCTCGGCGGCTGCGTAGTCACTGCCAAGGCGACGCGTGCTCCGGCAACGTCTGCCCCAGCGCGGTTCGCGTTAGGCGCTAGTTGCGAGACTTGCGGTGCGGTGCGTAGGCTCTCCCCGGCGTTACCCGTCTCGAGGCGTCCTCGTACGGTCGGTGTACTTGAGGGCGATCTCGGCGGCTGGTCGAAGACACGACGTTGGTTTTCTTCGTCTTGGCTTCTTGTAAGCACCATCTTGATTCACTGTTGCTGGATCTCGGAGGTTCTATACGTGTTTAGATCCGGCTTCTCGAAGGACCAAAACTATTGAGGGTGCTGATCCGGCTCTATGGACCAAACTGTAGACGATGTTGTATAACCGTGGATGATGGTGAAAACAAAGACGAATTTCTTCTATAGACGATTTATTATATTTTCTTCTTACTGGCTACTTATTACTGCTTGACTATACTGCTTGACTGACTTGACTTGACTACAAATATTTACAAATTTGGCCCTACCCTTATTCTACACTTAACATCTAACTTAGCTACTAGTGACGCGCGGCGGCCGACCAATCACAGCGCGTTTTACGCCCGCGCGCCGGGTGGGGGAATCGCCCCCACCGTGCGGACGGCGCCTACGCAGCCAATGGGCTCCCTGATAATTCCGCTAATGTAGGCGCTGTGATTGGTCGTTCGATCTGTACATTTTTCGGCACGTGGCTGTAGAGTTGAAATGTCATTGCGAAAATGTGCGATATTTCATTTTTAGAGTATTCATACCACAAGTCCGCATCAACGGATCGACGTTTACAATCCTTGTGTGTATTAATATTGAAACTAGATATGTTCTTTAAACAAAAATAGTTATATGGTATGATGTTCCTTTGATCTGTGAGTCATATCGGCTTCCTGTATATATTGCTGTTGATATGTTAATGTATTAGTGTTGCATTGTTTATGTGTGTACTTTGTCACGTTCCACGTGATGGAAAGCTACGAAAAGTATCTTCTTGGTAATCTTATTCTTTCTACAGCTGCTGGGAATGCTTGTTGGTGAAAATTACTACAGATATAGGCATTTTTTTAACTTCTGGAAGCTGTAGCGTAGTTGCTTACCAGAAACTTGAAAAAAGTAGTCTTTAAATTACGAAACCAGCGTGATTAAACATATGAATTTACTAAGAATGCGTTCATAACGTAATGGCAAATATGACAATTTATGGTAACTATACATATAGGTACTGAAGTGCCCGATTTTCGGTTTTCCCAATTTTATTGCGAAAGGTCATGGGTTCGAGTTCCATTTCAGAAGTGGATTTTTTTTAGCATTTTTCATTAAGAATATTTTTCAGTATAGCATTGTGAATGATATATTGATCAAATATAATGATTTTCAGTCATAGGCAAACGCATAGAAACCAGAACTATTACACTTCATCCACAAGTACATTTTACATTACTTATAATAATCTTAAAGTGAGTGACCGTTTACCAAGTAAACCATTAGTGTAAAAATTATAGTACTTTTTCGTTATAACGATCGTAAATTCAATAATGAACGTATTTTTTAAAAATTAGTTTATAAAACAAAAAGATTTTTATTTACACCAGCTTTACGTTTCTGTAAAAATCCAAACTCGAATTCGAATTAACTCAAGTGTCAGAATTCACTTCCAAAAATCGCGTCTGCTCAATCTTGAATTGGTAATAACATTTCATGGCATAAGTGAAGTGAGTTTCGAAATTGCATAGCAATAGAATATCTGAAACCATTTCCATTCAAAAAATGGAACCAATAGAATTCCTTCACTAAATGACATAAATTCTGACACATGAGTGCATTCGAATTCTGGTTCGGATTCTTACAGAATCGCTGTGCAGGTTTTATAAATGTTTGGATTTATTTAAAACCTAAATAATATCGATATATTAGATTTGTGAAGCAATATATCGATATACACTAAATCGATATATCAATATTTTTATCCCTTTTACTTTTGGATGCGGTTTCTCCCGTTATACAATTTTACCTTTAAAATTACGTAAATATGACAGATTTATACCTATTTTCAAGAAAATGATTAAATCTGTGACTTAAAGTTCCGAAAATTGTCTTTCATGAAAATTAAGACTGATTTTCATTAAAACTTCTTTGCTTGATGATACTCACCACACCACTAAAAAAATACAATTGAATCTTATAGCAGCACAATAAAGTTTAAAATTCATCTCAAGTAAACATGGACATTTAGTTTGAAGAAGGAAATTTTTAGTTTCAAAGAATAATAAAAATAAATGTTTGGGATTATATTATCACGAGAATCACAATTCTTTGTGTATTTATTAGCTTCAAATTCCTACCCGTTCATTTGTAATTGCCGTTGCTCTAAGCGTTAAGTTAACAGGCACACCAATAATTAGAAATATCTCGGATTCTATTTAAGTTAGTGTAATGAAAGTTCGAAGTATTGATTGATTAGTCACTATTTTTTCACATGAATAATACGAATCGTATTTCTAGTGCTAGTGTCCTGCTACTTAGACTTCTAGTTAGCAGGTACACCAAGATTTTCCAATATCTTAATTTACAGTGTCTCTAATGACATGCTATGGTATCTCACGAATTGTCACTATTTTACTCACAATTAATTGACTTACATAAGATCCTCAAACTCGTTGGTCTTCTACCTTAACGTTCACGGAGAAGCAAAATATGACATCTGAAGGTTATTCTTTATTGAAAGATAAAACTGCCTCCCGTCTGAAATTATCCACATTCGCTAACGGCTATAATTCAAACTTTTTATTAAGACTTAACAAGTCTGTTTCGCGTTATTGTAGTAATGAGAAATTTCAGAACTAATTAGGCGCCCTTGTATTGTTCTACATGTAATTGAATGAAGGTTTCCATTTCAATGTCTGAACATATGTCGGTAAGATTAGAGCGATGACCTTGGCAAAGAATATTGTATTTGTGTGTTATCTTACAAATATTTCTCATAGATTTATAAGAGATCGCTTGCTTGCTTGATTTTGAGGATCATTGATAATTAAATACCCTTCTCCTAGTTATTTTATATTTCAAAAGAGCTTAGAGATATTTATGTAACACAAAACGCAGCGTTAGTTAGTTTAGGATATCACATAGTGTTTATTATCTATCATACGTTTCAAAGGTGCGATAATTTGTGCAAGCCTTTTTTGTATCCTATCTCAGAGGCCACTCCTTTGCCTGTACTCAATAAGTCTTGGCAAAATAAGACTGCGGTGCGCTTTCTATTACACGTTTTCCCTTTTCATCATCAGCCCTTTTACGTCCCCACTGCAAGGGCTCAGGCCTTCCTTATGGATGGTTAAGGAGGATGGCCCATGGCCCTCCACGCTGGCCCAATGCAGATTGAAGTGTTTCCTTTTAATTAATATATGTTATTTTCAGTGAATTCCGCATTTAATTCCTAATTTTTATGTTTTACAGTTTTATTCGATGTAAGAAATCGCGCAGTTCTAACAATTGTTGATAACATTATTCATTGTTCCAGGTTACGAGCGCGTGTCTTTAGATAAACTGTGCTGTGATAGGATTGCCAACGATCCAACACTGTGGAATGGTTCCGGTGAACGGACTCTGTCTTGTACATGTAAGTGTATCTGTAGAAGTAAATTTTGAATCGGTGAAAATCGAGTTTTGGTAACGTTACATTAGAATATATTTTTTTTACACGAAACCATACCACAAATCCAATTTTATTAGATTGGAGAAACATCCAATCTAGTAAAATTGGATTTGTGTTATGGAATTTGAAAAATACGATGGTATTACCGTGTCTTAATATTAGAAAAATAATAACACATTTGAAAATAAATTAAAACAATATTTAATAAAAAAGCAAATTCAATGACAGATTTTTTTATTGAAAAATAAAACTCATGGGCAGTTGCTATTAATGTTTCATTTATTGTTGTTTAAGTGTCTTTTTTTGTATTGAGTATTGCAGCACCCTTATTGGGTTACGAACTAACACGCTAAGTATAAGCTGTAAAAGATCTTGCTGTACCCATATCTTGCTGCACAATAACGAAATAAATAAATATATCTACGCCCGGGTATGTAGAGACAACTCCAACAGGATAGTTACACTCGGTGATTGGTTGGTCAGTTCCTGTGAAGATATGCTACGTAGTTTAGGCGATTTGTTCTCATAAAAAAATAACCAAGTTTTAGCAAAACTATCATTTTCAGGCAACCTTGGCTTTTATTCTTAATTGTAATGTAAAAATTTATCTATTGTCTTCACGTTGGATCCTTCAAATTTAAAAATAAAGGAAGAATCATACCCGTAGGTCTCCTTCATTATTCTTCTGTTTGTTCACCTTCATTTTTAACTCCAGCTACATCCTTAGCAAAAAAAAACATCAAATTTGGTCTATGATTTACAATAAAAAAAGGAACATTAGTGATATTGCTATGAACTCTATTTGCGGTTCGATTCGATTCATTCGATGGTTTTCATGCTAGAGCATTCCATTTTTAATATCATCATATAAATATGCTAGTCTGACTTGTGGGTTTTTCTCCCAAAGGTCTTTAAGCACTTTATCTGGTGACGTGATCCCATTGCACGGCATTTAATAAATTTAAAGTTAAAAAAAGATGGATTCATATACTCCCAAAAAGATTCCTCATTAAAAATCCCGTGTAATCACGTGCTTTCAATTATGTAAATTAAGCTAGGGATTAAACGTTTCTATTAGTTTGTCCAATTACTGTTCAGTGCAATCATGTATGTACTGTATTGTAGTAATTCGGCGGCGAGGTTAGCTGTAATTGTAATTATAGTTGCAAATACCCGGCATCCTGTTTCGACTCATCATTCTTCCTGAATTTGTTAATTATATAATCAATGAAATTGTTCTTTAACCGTTTGGTTTGAATGGTCAAACCAAACGGTAAAAGAACAATTTCAAAGAACAACTTAGTATTATGGAATACTTTAGAAATTATTATTGTCCTGTTAAAAATTCTTGCTTTAAGAAGCTGAAATAAGCTCTTTAAAATCTTGAGCTGGCTTTAATGCAATTTTGCAGGTGTCCAAACACTACATTGAAAGGTTAAAATTACAATTACATGATTGGAGCGGTTAATGTTTCTAGTCTAGTAAGAAGCCTGTCCACCCACTTACTCGATTATACTTCTTAGATTTTGAAAATATCCACATGAATGCTGTGAAACTGGGTTTTGCCAGTTTCGCTGAACGAAAGCTGGTTAGAAATAGCCAGAATAACTTTGCATATTAAACTTGTAATTTTACTTTTACGCCTTTATACCTAAATAAAAATGATATTATATTGATTACAAGTATCGCAACACACGTTATATATTTCAAGTTCAAGTCTAATATAAGACCGTCATGTGTGTTTATTACGTAATTAACTTGCAAAAAGCTCTCTAATCAGATTAGGTAAACCAGAATAGCACGCAATAATACCATCATATTACAACTGGCTCGTGCCGCTTCAATTTTTTTAATTGGCAATGTAATGTCACTATAAAACATTAAAACCTTTTAGCTGTAAATATGATGGCAAATCAAATGTAAAATTCAAATAAGTTCTTCCATCGTAAATATTTTCCTGTTATGGCTAAAATAATACTGTGTTTTACTGTTTATATAATTTTGTATGTTTCACAAGAATCTAAAAACGATAAGCTTGATAGTCATTTATTATTTTAAAAAAATGGTGACTCATCTTTGTTCTTGGTGTTTCTTTAATCGAAGATATTTTAACACAAGTTTTGTATATGACGACATCATTATAAACAGAAATCTATTTTTTTATTAAAACTTGGTAATTCATAATTAATTATAGATTTACTGTTCTTTCCGATACCGTCGAACTGCTCTGGATGGGAGAGTATGACAAATTTCAACTTTGCAATGCTGGTTATGAAACTATGTAGTGTATAAGCCAATTTGTATTCAATGCTTGACAGACGACAGTTGTTTAGTCGTGTTGGTGTTACTTTAATGTCGGCTTACAACTGAATTGTATGCTTATTGTACTCGGTAATTTTCCTTTGGTTATTCAATGAAAATAAAATTTGATATGTTTGTGGTAGATCGCAAATTCTTTTGATTAAGTTTTGGTTTGAGGAGCTCGATGGTGCAATGGCTAGCGCGCTCAGTCTGCAATGCGGTTGTTAAGTAACTTTTGCAATGTCTTGCCATAGGATAGGTTACCAAAAATTTATTATCTCGAACTCCTCCGTGCTTCGAAAGGCTAGTTAGTAACTGTTGGTACCAGTTTGCATTTGTAGTCGTTAATACCTACCAATTCGGACTGGTCCCGCGTCCACTGGTAGGTCATGGACTATTTTCCCGATTTCACCCAAAGGCTTGAGCCTCAGCAGGGGGGATTTCAATAGGCTGGTGAAGATAAAGTATTATATCCGAATGATAATGTGGTTCCGATGCCTTTACAACTTGAGTTGTGACAGGGGTCTCTTATCAGAATTCTATTCATTGAAAATAATGTAACCGGTTATTGTACTTTCAATATTAAGATTGAAAATTCCATTTCATAAACGAACGATGTTGCCACTGCTAGCAAAAATAACAGAGTACTCAATCTTGTACCAACAAGAAAGTTAATAATTGGACGAACTTGAAATTACATTTCAGTTCAGTTGATCAAATTCAAACATTTAACTTGTGTAACTTAATTAACATTCGCTATAATGCCTCCTTTCGTTGTCGTCAATGGGATGAATGCCTCTGGCGTACAATGGGCGATGATTTTAGTCAACAAAGGCACCGGTTGCCCTTCCCGGATATTGGCATAAGGTATTTGTCCTTACTCCTGGAGACGGAAACATTTGTATTCGTGTCGTACACTGACTAACTGTTGTTGGTCATTTCACTTGACTATATCAGTGTTATTACAAAAAAGATAAACAAGCGTTGAACACGTGTTTAAAAAAAATTCTATTACAAAATCGTATTTAGGCACTGTTTAAGGCTAAACATCGCTTAAACATTGTTTAAAATATAAACACTCGTTGAGAGTTGTTTAACGCGTGTCTAACCTCAAAATAGGTTGTGCTTTGTTGAAAATTCATCCATATTCTTAAGATAAAGATTATATTGATATGGTCGATTTAGATTACATGGAAAGCTTTTAGGACGCGTAAGTAAACCGAACGCGAATTAATCCATTTGAGCAATACAATGAACTTTGATATAAAAAAAGGGCATATTTAGTGGATTGTTTGCTGACAAAATATATGAAATTATTTAAGACGATATTCCACATAATCCTCGAGATGAAAGTATAGATCTGCAAATAAATACACGTAGCATGTGCATGTGTGCATAGCTTCTGTGTCTGTTCACAGCTTGTGAACATGTGCGGCGTTGGGTTCGGCATCAGGTAGTCGTTGCTCCGTTTCTTCATATTATTTCGCTATAGTTTTACTTAATCTTACTCTAATATGAATTATGAATAGAAGTGCCAGTTTAAAAACGTTAATTTTGTACTTTCTTTTTTACTTTTGAAAGTTATTAGCTAATACGTTATTGAACATATCTTTTTACGATTAGAATTTATCATAAGTCTGTTTAAGATGTGCATATAATGGAACGTGTATGAACGAATGAAAGCCGACTGAACGAATGCTTTACGGGTTGCATGTTTAAATCAGCGTTAGTTAGACTACGACTAAAAATGGATTTGTAATAGACAAAGTTAAACATCATTTTAAACAGGGTTTATATTCTTAGACATTGTTTACTTAAACACATGGTAAAACCCTGTCTAACATCTCTTTTGTAATAACACTATATATGATTTTTTTTCCATGAATAACGTTTGTGAGCAAGTTTATATTTAAGATTTTAAATTTATCGATTACATTGTGCTTCTAAGTTATTATAATAAAGTATAGATACTGATTTTTCCATCACTCAACTAATGATAATTCAAATATGCTTTTCTTCTTTTTTATAATTTTCTCTATTGTTTCAAATTTGACTGGGATAATTAATTAAATCCTTCCGATATAGGTAGTACATACAATCTTAGAGGGTAATTTGTTGTTATTTCCAGTTATTCTGCCAACTCTCGTAAGATTGGCTTATAGTTAATTGTTTTTAATTCGGATATGACATTGTAACACTTGTGCTCTCTTTTCCTATATTTCTGATGAATAGATGCCATACTTGCCCAGAAACGTAGAACTATTCGGTTATTACAATAGTTGATTGAAAAATAGTTTTGTTCAAATTGTATCATTTTTTTTTTGGGAATTTATTGTGCGAATTTCCTGTAAAACAGATTTGGCTTAGTTTGATACGATACATATGTGATCTCCGTCCTCCCTACGTCGTCTTTTCGTTTTGTTTACATCAGAGCATGCTCTAACCGAAGTCCATTGACCTCAACTTATGCAGTCTGATTGTAATGTTATGATTTTTATGCAAATTCCGCTGGTTCGGTTTGATATAATTTTCATAAATATAAAGACATTTAATTATTAAAGAAAGAGTATTTATTTGCACCGCCATATCCTGCTCGCGTTCAAATTATAATTTAATCCTCAAAGTATGTATGTAGTCACCCTTTTTGTTATGGAACACGTGGA